TTTGGAATTTCCTCGTACGACTTTCTGCGCGAGAGCGCCCTCCGGCTTCGAGTGTGAATGAAACACACACTGCACGAGTGTTTATAGCGCTCCGTGATGTTCATCTCGCCTTATTCTGGGTCCGAATAAAACATCAGATCATGCACAGACTATCCTGTCTCTTTGAATTTAAATCTATATTTATTCACACCGGCTCTTGAAAACCTCTATGCGAACACACTTGCCCAAAAAAGTGCGGGGGACGAATTTGCGTGATATTAAAAGTGGGGGGGACACGTCCCCCGCGTAATCTATGCCCCTGGCTGGAATGGTGTCTTACTCACAGCTCAATGGGCACATTATGGGCAAACATGTGGTGTGGGCTTTATTTTTGTGCTGTTATTATGATAATGCTGACCTCTCGCACTGCCGATAAAACATTGTGACGCATAGACTGTTAAAGAAAGCCTGTTTGTGGCCTGGATTCACGGGTGGGCTGGGAATGCTCTTGTTATTGCATTCCTTGAATTTTATAGCAAATCTTGAATATTTTCCTCTTAGTTCAAATGCAGTAATGCTCATGTTTTTGCATTCTCCAGTGGGAGCCTGTGCAATATTTTAACAACAAGATCATTTGTGATCTTGTGGAGGAGAAGTTTAAAGGAATCATTTCTATCCTGGTAAGAATGCTCTCTGTGAACTTCCATCAAAATATTAAACATTGTTTTAAGCTGCATATATCTATAATCATTTACCGTTCTATCTACAGGATGAAGAGTGTCTGCGGCCTGGAGATGCCAGTGACATCACCTTCCTGGAGAAGCTTGAGAACACTGTTGGTGGCCACGCACACTTCCTAACGTCAGTCACTCCACCTTCCTTTTATCATTCGATCTAATACATAAAATTATATCCTGAGCATTTGAAAACTAATATATATGATATTTATACATCTGCATCTGCATTACATTACAGTCACAAGCTGGCTGATGGAAAAACCCGTAAAGTGATGGGTCGTGAGGAGTTCAGACTGATCCACTACGCAGGAGAAGTCAACTACAATGTGAACGGTCAGTTACTGAACAGAGCGCAGCGATAAAAAATTAAGAAACCGAAAGAGAGCACGTCGTTGAACAAAAGCGGGCACTTATGCCCACAGATTTTTCCCAGGCTAAGCGTTGACTGACGTCATTGTGTATTTTCCATCTTCTAGGCTTCCTGGACAAGAACAATGATCTCCTTTTCAGAAACCTGAAGGAGGTGAGGGAACAGTCCCAGAATTTTTTTTTTATATATATATATATATACACACATTATATATATATATATATATTAGTGCTGTCAAACGATTAATCGCATCCAAAATAAAAGTTTTTGTTTACATAATTTATGTGTGTGTACTGTGTATATTTATTATTTCTATATTAATACACACACATACATTAATATATTTAAGAAAACTGTTGTGTTTATATATTAAATATATTTATCTGTTTTATGATTATTTCACATAGAAGAAGGACACACGTATTGAATCGCCTCTGCACCGATTGGTTTGTTATCACATGGATACTTTAAACAGCTCCATTAAGCTTTAGCCCCAAAGAGCGCACATTTAGAAAGATAATGATGAATTCTCAAATGTTCACTCCTCATTTCTTTACAGAGGATGATTCTATATTACTATATATTAATGTTCCACTAAATTATGCGATCATCTGATGAGTTTTGAGTGTTCTCTCTCGTCTTACTGCCATTCCCATAGTGGGGAAGAAATGTCATCAAAATGATTTTAAATAAAAAAAATAGCAATTTAATGAGTTTCTGTTTTTATAACATAGCTATGCCTATGATATAGGACTTAGCCTATCACAAGTCCTTTTTTTTTTTTCTCGAATATCTGCACGATCGCAAATGTACAATAAACAACAACTTACAGAGTAACTTTCAGATACAAAATTGCGTTTTGCTCCGTCAGAAAGAAAATAGAACAAACAGCAAAACCGCTGCGTCTCCGAACAACAGTGTTTTGTTCCTCAGCATTACACGGACCAGCAAATGATTCAATCAGGCTATAAGTACAGTCGTTTGCAAAGTTAAATTAATCAGCTTTTTAAACGAATCAGTTGATTCAACTCACTCATTAAGACAGTCACTTGCTGCCACCTACTGGCGGTTGTAGTTTCATATTTAAAAAAGTAGCTTATTTCATTTTTGCAATCATTTAATATTTCTACATTAAAATGTTATATTTAAACTTAACATTTATGCACAATCCATCTATGAATTTTGTTGATAGTGATTTAATTTGATTGTTAATAGCCAGCATGTCTTTTTATTCGATTGAATTTATTGATTAAATAAGAACCTGACATAAGAGGACACAGATATGACAATAACTTTTATAATA